GGCCCTCAAAAATGCATCTAAGCCACTGAAAATCCACTGGATTTCAGTGGCTAAGAGGCCAAACCATGGCCAATGCAAGTGCTCTAATGCATAGCCTTAATCATGAAGAGATGAAGCATGCATAGGGGGAAGATGACCCCAAACAGAAATGGGACCTTAACCAAACTTGAAGAGGAGCTCAAAACAAGACTTTTTCTAGTTTATAACAAATCTCGAAAATGTTCACAAGTAAGGCTAAAGTATGATGCAAAAAATAGCCCTAAAAGAGAGATAGAGGGTAAGGGAAAGTAGATGACCTCAAACAGCAAAGTGCCCTTAAACAAAGTTTAAGAGGAGCTCAAAATATGACACTTTATAGTTTATGACAAAGCTAGAAATACTTGCAAGTGAAGCTAAGTAATGAAGCAAAAAAATGCAAGTTTAAGGGATTTAGACACTTACCCTTGAAGAGCCGACCACCAGCAGCTTTTGGACCAAGTTGGTGAGCTTTCAACCTCTGCAAATGACTTCCAAGGTGCTGAAATGGATGATGGAGGTGTGGTGCTAAGGGTTGTAGTGCAAATGGACCAAGAGGATTAGGGTTTTGGAGCTTGGAATAGTGACAATGGAGGAGGGAGGTTATAAGCCTTAAGCAAAAATGTCTAACCATTAGATATGAAGAGGAGGGCCTCTCTTATAGAGAAGAGAGGTCAAAGCTTCTCTTGGAAGCTTCAAAGATCCTCCACACACGTGTATGGAGGATGCACCAAATGCCCCCCAGCTGGCACAGCCGTAAAGTATTCAGAGAGGGCAAAAAGCAAGAAACAGGCCGGCCAGTTCAAGTGGCCGGCCGGCCACTCCCCCTGGTCGGCCGACCAGGGGTCAAAAGGTTCAAGCCCCAAAGCTGGTCGTCCATGAAGCCCTTGAAGTTAGCTTTCCAATGCCGCAAACCTTGCATTAAAATTCCTCCTGTGCAAAAAGTTATGCCAGTTTTGGTGAAGCCGCGCAGATTCGGTCCAAACGGACTTCAACCAACCATATCTCCCCCACCCAGACTTGTCCTTAGGAGATTCTTGAGTGAAAAATGAAGCCCCGGAAGTAAGCTTTCCAACGGTGGTGGCCTCATATCTTAATTCCTCCTGTGCAAAGAGTTATGCCCGTTTCGGTGAAGCCGCGCAGATGTTTTCTCTCCTTCCCGGATTCATGCTGAACCACTTTTGACCAAAAAAGCTGGTCGGCCATCTGATTTTCTGGTTTGCCATGTAGCCACATTGAAACCCCAGAAGTTAGCTTTCCAATGGCGCCAACCTCGCATTAAAATTCCTCCTGTGCAAAGAGTTATGCCCGTTTCGGTGAAGCCGCGTAGATTTGGTCCTATCCGGATTCATGCCGAACTTCTCCCAAACTAGTTTTGCTTTCTCTTCTCCTCTTTTCTTCAACTTCAAACCCCTAGACAAGGTGTTTTGAAAGTTTTTTCAAAGATTTCATCTCTCTTTCGTTCATTTCCACTTTGTCCTTGCTCGGTTTACCGAAAAGCGCAACATTTGACAAAATGCGAGCCTCGGAACATCGTAAAAATTTTATTTCAAAAACGTTTTGAAAGAGAGGGTTTTAAGATCTAAAATCTTTTGATCAAGATTGTTTTGGTCCAAAAAGGGGTACGAAGTTGAGATTTGACTCTCCTCTTGCCGAAGAAATCGACCCTTTGCACTGCACAACTTTTAAAACCATCAGTCGCGTCCAAGTCTTAATGGTGGTCAAAAATGGGGTGTCTACACCTTAATACTTGAACAGTATATCAGGTTCTTCAGAACTGATGAACTAATCTTTGCCAGTGACATCGAAAGGGAAGGTTCAAATTGGCAGTGAGGAAACAAAAGAAAAAAATATGATAAAAGTTAGTGAGAAAACGAGTGATGAGTGGTATCCTAGTATGGCGTCCAGTATAAGAAGAAAAAAAAAAAAGGGTGTGAAAACTGAGGAAACAAGTGAAAAAAAAAAAGAGAAAAAAAATCTGATGGATGGTATCTTATTATGGTGTTTAGTAGCTTAATTTAGTCCTTGTGGAAAGTACTCATCTTGGAGTCAACTCTTCTCTAATTTTGTTTAACAAATTACCTTAAAAAATACGATAAACAAGCATGTGAGAAGGGATTGTAATAAAGATTAAAGACCATGAAATCCCAGAACAGTTGGATAAGTGATTACTTAGCTATGAAGCACCATACACTTCAACAAATGGGTATACACTTTTGGTTTTGGGGCTTATTGCTGGTTAAGATTATTTTTGCTAGGTATACCCATTTGTTGCTTCATCATATAGAAATAGTAGAAATGGAGATGAAGAAAATTGTACTGTTTTAATGTAATTGACTTCTTTACAATGCTTATGACATTAAAGACCCCATAGCTGTAAGTTTCTCTGTATTCAACTGCAAGGAATTGTTAATTTTTATCTATTACATTCTTATTGCCATCAGACAACATATATTTTTTTAATTTGTTGTTTTCTGGAATTCATGAAGGACACCCAATTTGAAAATTAATGAGATATTGCATTGATATTTGGTGAGAAGAATTGGGAACTAAAATTTTGCTCATAAGTTGATTTAAATAAGCAAAACAATAAAATGCAAGAGTAGAACCAGAGTTTGTATTGATGGAAGTCATTTTGACAGAGAAACTCTTAACAGTAGGATCACTCCATGCACAATAGGACCACTGACATACAAAAACAGATTCCTTTATTATTTTCATAAAATTCTGTAACAGCTTGCATTGTTACATTGGTTGGTTGCATTGTAAAGAGTAAGGTTCATCTTTTTGTGCGGTACTTGAATGTTAATGATACGGTTTTAAATAGGGCAAATTACATATACCCCCTCGAGGTTTAGCAAAATTACAAATACCCCCCTATTTGGGTGGGGTGTCATCTTTCCCTCCTTTTGTTTTTTCCCTCATCAAATCTCCCCAAATCAATCTCCACGATTTCACTCTTGCACATCCTTATCTCAGAATTCATAGTTCTCTCTCCCTCTCGATTTCAATCTTGATTGTAGGGTTTCTGCCGTTTGCTGCTGCCGTGCGAGATCGGTGCTTCAGTCTGCCCTTACAGGTTTGTTCCCTTTTGCTTTGTATCTCAATGCCCCTGCTTCTCTCTCTCAATTTCTTAAATGAATCTATGCTTGTCTATTTTCACTATTACGAGTTTCGGGAGTCTGACCTCTAGTGCATATATTAACCATCCATTTAGTCAAGTTATGTTAACACCAATTGCAAATGCAGTACCTATGGACTATTGATCCTTTGCATGCATTCCTGGTTCAATTCCTTATGGGTAATTTAACTAAATTTGACTTGAATTGGTAGAATAATTTTTTTTCTTCTTGTCCAATTCGTTATGTATAATTGATGCATATGACCACAGACCCAAGTAAGATTTTGCAATTTGCAGGGGGATATACTTAATGATTTATTTGGATTTTGAAGATTATTAGCAGTCCATAAATCCTGGATACAAAATGAAGTTATTTTAATTTTTTTTTTACTGTTAAGTTTCTCAAGCATGTGGTGGAAAGAACCTATATGTTATTTTATTTTATTTTCATAATTTTTTCTCCTTCCCTTAATATTTGAACAGTATATCAGGTTCTTTAGAACGGATGAACTAATCTTTGCCAGTGACATCGAAAGGGAAGGTTCAAATTGGCAGTGAGGAAACAAAAGAAAAAAATATGATAAAAGTTAGTGAGAAAACGAGTGATGAGTGGTATCCTAGTATGGCGTCCAGTATAAGAAGGAAAAAAAAAAGGGTGTGAAAACTGAGGAAACAAGTGAAAAAAAAAAAAAAGAGAAAAAAAAATCTGATGGATGGTATCTTATTATGGTGTTTAGTAGCTTAATTTAGTCCTTGTGGAAAGTACTCATCTTGGAGCCAACTCTTCTCTAATTTTGTTTAACAAATTACCTTAAAAAATACGATAAACAAGCATGTGAGAAGGGATTGTCATAAAGATTAAAGACCATGAAATCCCAGAACAGTTGGATAAGTGATTACTTAGCTATGAAGCACCATACACTTCAACAAATGGGTATACACTTTTGGTTTTGGGGCTTATTGCTGGTTAAGATTATTTTTGCTAGGTATACCTATTTGTTGCTTCATCATATAGAAATAGTAGAAATGGAGATGAAGAAAATTGTACTGCAATAATGTAATTGACTTCTTTACAATGCTTATGACATTAAAGACCCCATAGCTGTAAGTTTCTTTGTATTCAACTGCAAGGAATTGTTAATCTTTATCTATTACATTCTTATTGCCATCAGACAACATATATTTTTTTAATTTGTTGTTTTCTGGAATTCATGAAGGACACCCAATTTGAAAATTAATGAGATATTGCATTGATATTTGGAGAGAAGAATTGGGAACTAAAATTTTGCTTATAAGTTGATTTAAATAAGCAAAACAATAAAATGCAAGAGTAGAACCAGAGTTTGTATTTTGATGGAAGTCATTTTGACAGAGAAACTCTTAACAGTAGGATCACTCCATGCACAATAGGACCACTGACATACAAAAACAGATTCTTTTATGATTTTCGTAAAATTCTGTAATAGCTTGCATTGTTACATTGGTTGGTTGCATTGTAAAGAGTAAGGTTCATATTTTTGTGCGGTACTTGAATGTTAATGATACGGTTTTAAATATTGATCTTTACGTATTATATCAGTCAATATGTTTTGGGATTTTGTATTTCCAATGCTGCCGTTATTTACTGATATATGACCGTTTTGCCGGTACTGATATGTATCATGTTATCGTTATTTAATTACTTTCTCTCTTTTATGATATTGCCTCCATGTTCCCAGTTTGTTTCATCCTGCTTTGATTCTTGACAACTTAAGATGGGGAAGCATTTTTGTATTATATTTCAAGCTTGCTTTGGTAAAATGATTTATAATTCAAAAAAATTATAAATGATCATATCTTTACTTAATGTCTTCCTGTTTCTCAGAATGATTGCTTTTATCAAAGTCGCACACTCTTGACCAAGGTCAGAGAACTTGCTGCGAGGAAGGATATTGAAGCCCTTAAAGAAATTGTCAATATGGAGGTTTGTTGGTCCCGAACTGTCCTTTATCAATAAGACAGATATGAGATTGCTATTTTATGTTTTGGTTAACTTATTTACTTATCCTCTCTATCTTATACTGATTAGGTCGACAAATTTATGTCACTCTGGAACAATAATAAAGCTTTTAGGGATGATTACGAGAGGAGAATTTTGGCATCATTGGACAATCGGCAGTTGAGCAGGGATGGACGCATGAGGAACCCTGATGAGAAGCCATTGGTGATACGGGAAGCACCACCGTCTTCCTCTGTAACCGAGACAGCCACGAAAACCAATGTAAAACAACCAAAAGAAGATTCTACTTCCGCTCCAAAACACAATACCTCAGTTGCTGAAAAAGTCCAGAAAGAAGTGAAAAACAAAATCCAGAAAGAAGTGAAGGATAAAGCAACGGGAACTACTTTGGAGCTGCCTATTGACGTGGAAGGCAAAGGGATAATCTCTGTGTCTGAAAAACCACAAAAAGATTCGCAACCTAAGCGGGATGAAGTTGATGAAGCGAAGTTGAAGGAGATAAGGCGAGAAGAGGAGATTGCAAAAGCTAAGCAAGCGTTGGAGAGGAAGAAGAAATTGGCAGAGAAAGCGGCTGCGAAAGCGGTTATAAAAGCTCAGAAAGAGGCTGAAAAGAAGCTCAAGGAAATTATAGTTCTACTTATTCAATTTCCAGATTATGGGCCTGTTTGGAGCATCTTTTTGCAAGTTAAAAATTGATATCAGAAAGAAAGCCAAAAACACCCTTCCCTACTTTTCAATAATCAGTTTTTTAGAACTTATTTAAGCTATTTCTGCCTTATAAGCAGTAAACAGAAGTTGCACCAAAAACACTAAAAATTTTCAAAATAAAAAAAGCTATAAGGAACCCCATAAGCTGCACCAAACAAGGCCTATGTAAACTAGCAATTTTGTCCAAATTTTGAACTAATGGGATTTCTTTTTAATTTACCTCAGGATCGTGAAAAGAAGGCAAAGAAGAAGGCTGGAGCTTCTGCACCTGCTTCTGAACCAGAGGAACAACCAACTGAAGCAGATGCAGAGGTTACCAAACCAGAAAAGGCTGATGAAAAAGTTGAAGCGTCAGCTCCATCAAAGAGCAAGGACCGAAAGGAGAATCTGGTCAGGTACAGAAACCGACCAAAAGGCCCAGTGTCGGTTCCGCGTGACATTCTCAAGCGGAAAAAATCTACCAACTACTGGGTATGGGCTGCTCCTGCTGGTTTGTCTGTTATGGTGCTTTTAGTGTTTGGATACAAGTATTTTTTCTGAAGATGACACAAAACTAGAATTCAGTGAAAGAACTAATGGACCAAACTTTCTTTTTTGACAAACTTCGTCGAGTGACTAGGTATGTATTTGTTACCCGTGTCAAGCACTGGACTCGGGACAACTCATAATGTTCTTGGTAGGTCAGGCAGTATGAGATATTTGCAGGGGAAGCAACTATATACATTTTGCTTGGTTGGTGTAATTTCAAATTTTGACTTTTACTGGAACAAATTTTATTCAAGTCTTTGCTTTTACAGGAAATTGTGATATATATATAGGGTCAGATTTTACTTGGATGCTGATGAGATTGATGGGATATGTGGGCTATGTTATATTATACTACATGATTCGAAACATTGTTTCAAGGTATACATGAGGCTTCATTATCTTGAGTTGCACGTGAGACAAATGTGATTCTTGTTCATATGCACCAATTTCTAGGGTTAAGGAAATGCTAGAGAGTTAGAAAACGTAATCTAGGAAAAAATAACAAATTTAGTGGGATGTGGGTTATATGTAGAAGAATATGGTCTACACTTAATTTTCTGACCACTGTTTGAGCAACTTTTGTCGGCACATTAGCATTGTTGAGTGTGCTCTATTGTCTGTTCACAATGCTACCTAGGCATAAGTTGTCTCCCTGTTTGGTGCCTTTTATAGTGGTGGTTTTGGTGCCTTTTATAGTGGTGGTTATTTTGTTTGTTTGTTTGTGCGTGTGAGTGTTTGATGTATTTTCTACTTATATGAAGTGTAAATAGTTTAAAAAGGCTGATTATTGAGAAGTTGAGGGATGGGCGTTTTTAGCTTATGCTTTCCTGTTATCAATTTTCAGCTGGCAAAAAACACTGAACAAGTTTTGTGTTGTCCTCGTTGGTGTGAAACCCTTTGTGTCCACCAGAATAAAGTCCAGGTAAGGTTGCAAGCTTCTAGTTGCTCGTTCACAAAGACATTTCCAGAGGTATCCTCAGACTATCTCAGAAGGCTTAAATCCCAGAAGTCTTAGAGAGGTATGGTGTACAGCACAACTAGGGCAGTTGTTCATAAGGAATTTCATAGACTTGTGGAGGGAGAGTAGAATTGGGTCTTGATTGGATTAGGGGGTGGCATGAACACCTCTTGTTGTTTTCTATGCACTTTCTAGTGTGTGTTTTAGTTTTAGCATGTGTCGTTTAGCATCGCGAGTCTATGGCTGTCGTTTTCTCCATAATCCAAGCTATGGTATGTGCTCCAAATAAATAATTGCAAAGAAAATTGTACAGAGTAGAAAAAGGGGTGTACGCTTTTAATTTAGAGGATTCTTTTAATTATTATTATTATTGTATTGTAGAAAAATAACCCTACTGGGATTCATCTGAAACCATGGTTCAAACTGTGATAGATTTTACCACCGGGGTGGTGATGGGGTGAAAAGGTGCCTTCCTTCCACACAGTTGAGCAAGGCTCGACTGCTGAGGGACGTGATTAGCAGCTTATTTTTCAGATGATGAAACTGACTATGGTGCACTCCGATTGTGGCTTTGTTTCTTGTGTTGAAGGATGGTGCATTCCTATCTTGCCCCGGTGATGGGTCCTTTCATTTGGGTTGGGTTAAATATAGTTGGCAACTGGTTACTTTAACGTCAGGATTCACAGATGCTATGATGTCTTCACGAAGCGTCTTTTTTTTTTTAATAATAATAATAAAAAAAAACTGTGATAGATTTTCATTGCAGGTTAAGTTCCACAGAAAGCAGAAAGGGTACTATCTGGAAAAAATTCCAAACGAAGGATGAATTGTAAAGCTGCTTAATTTTCCTTGAAATCTATCAAAGGTCAATTCCACTTGAAAAATATTTGGAAATAGGGGTAAAATTGCTTTCATTCTGTTGTGAAACATAGTTGAATTGAAATTTCCCATTTCAAATGTTCCAATGAGACCTTATTTTACCAGTTTTGAACAATTGGAGTTTTTTACTGTCACGCCCCAAACTTGCCCCTAAAAGTTTGGGCATGACCTGGACAGAAGATAACACGTAGCCTGGATCCATAGAGGGGCCTGCCCGGAAGCTATAAAACATAATTAATAAAAACTAAAAAGTATGACATCCATTGAGCCACTGAATCATGCCAGGATCAAAACATTTTACAGGGCAAGTACATCAAAAGCTAAAATACATTTAAGAGTTAGTTATTTACAGACATAGACAGAACTAACCCCGAGATGGGGTACAACAGAGTCATTAGGTACATATCACTTAAGCCAATAACAAAAGTGTGAGTCAACATCTAACAACTTCCACAAAAGTAGGGTCCCGACTCCAGGTTTGGCTGTGCCTAGGCTGACAAAAGTATGACGATGCCGAGCTAGGATCGACCTCCTGGTTGATTACCTACAGAAACAGACATAACATAGGGTGAGCCAAGCTCAGTGAATAATAGTACTAGTATGCTTGTAAACATATTTAATGCTGAACGCATGTAATTAGTCTGTCTCTGTACGGCTTATTGGGACAACATAATCGGTTTATAATTGTCATAATGTGGCCCCTGGCCTAAGAACTCCACACATTCGGAAAGAGTCCTTGGATTCACAATTCACAATTTATCACATAAACCTTTGGTTCTGTTTAAGTCACAAGCTCATCATAGTGCTATTCATATTTCACACATCGGCCCTTGGCCTCATAATTTCATTGTTCACAAACGGCCCTTGGCCTCATAATTTCACATTGGGGCTCTTAGCCACATTAGCTCACAAATGGTCCTAAGCCACATTGATTCACAATGGCACTAAGCCACATTGGTTCACAAATGGCTCTAAGCCACATTGATTCACAATGGCACTAAGCCACATTGGTTCACAAATGGCTCTAAGCCACATTGATTCACAATGGCACTAAGCCACATTGGTTCACAAATGGCTCTAAGCCACATTGATTCACAATGGCACTAAGCCACATTGGTTCACAAATGGCTCTAAGCCACATTGATTCACAATGGCACTAAGCCACATTGGTTCACAAATGGCTCTAAGCCACATTGATTCACAATGGCACTAAGCCACATTGGTTCACAAATGGCTCTAAGCCACATTGATTCACAATGGCACTAAGCCACATTGGTTCACAAATGGCTCTAAGCCACATTGATTCACAATGGCACTAAGCCACATTGGTTCACAAATGGCTCTAAGCCACATTGATTCACAATGGCACTAAGCCACATTGGTTCACAAATGGCTCTAAGCCACATTGATTCACAATGGCACTAAGCCACACCCGCACGTGCGGCACACCTCCCGCACGTGCGGCATTGAGGCCCCGCACGTGCTTTTTTTGCAGTGTTGAAAGCCAGATTTTTGCCATTTTCCCGCACGTGCGGCAGTGACTCCCGCACGTGCAGCTGGGGTTTCCCGCACGTGCGGCCTAGGCCCCGCACGTGCGGCGATTCTGCACCAAAAGTCCGAAAATTCTGCACAATTCCTTCCTCTTGTAGACATGTTTAGGGCCTCAAAATCTAGCTTTAAATTACCAATATATAAGTTCAAAGCATGTAAATACATGTGAACCAAGGTCAAATTACATCTTTCATTTGAATAAAAACAAATCCAATCATAAATCCACAACTTAAATCTACTCCAATTCACAAGACTCCTACTTGTTCTCACATCTCAATTCATAACATAAAAGTATATCACATCCTTGAATTCAAACAAGTCAATTGAAGACATAGAGTGAGGTCTCTCTTAGGGACTACAAATTGAATCAAACATGCAGGGTAAGGTCATTTTATCCATTTACTTCTCAAACTTACAACATCACAATTCCAACTCTTAGGAATAAGATCATAGAAACATCTTCACATAATTTATGACAAGAAGGGTTATAGGTGGACATTAGACAAACATTCACATACCTTAAGCCCAATCTTCACCTTCTTGAGGACTTCTTTCTCTATCCCTTCACTTCTCAAGTCTAAAGTTATGTTATGAGTTCCTTGATTTGTCAAATGGCTAAGGTCACATATATATATATATATCCTTATGGAGAGAATGAGACGAAAATCAATCGTTTACACATCCGAAAATTGAAATTTCACAAAAGTGCTTAATATTACCTAAAAATTATGCTGGTTCTAAATATATGATCAATTTTGGCTTATTGAGCCGCTAAGGCCTTCAATTCCTACTTTATCGTTCTAGTAATAACAGATACAGTTCTTTCTTAATAGATACAATTCATTTCATAAGGCATCACACCATAGTTACTTGAACTTATTCCCTTGGACAATTTTAGTTTAGACATTTAATAGCACAGAATAAAGGACGGACGTATATCACAAGCATATATGAGGGTCGTTTTGTTACATTTACAGTAAATATCATTTTCTTTATAAATTTTTTATAATAACCTTTAGACGATGGGTTAAAGACTATTACTCATCTTCCTCACTTCTTTGTTAAAGCTCCGTTTGTTTTAAAGAAAATATATATTTTTTATTTTCTATTTTTGGTTAGCCAAATTTTTTTTTTTTCTTTTTTGTCAACAAAAAATGAATTGCCTTTGAGTCAAGCCCATTAAATATGGCATGAGCCCTAAGTTTTTGACCATAGGCCTCAAAAAATTAAAAAAACAAAAAAAACAACAACTACTTTACAACTAGTGTATGTGGTAGCATTTAGAAGTCAACTTATTTAATTTGTTTAACTAAAAAAAGTCTTAGTGATATTTGATTGCAATTTTATATTATAATTTATTTGACTTATTTGGCTTATTTGCCCCTTGGATTTTTTTTTTAGTTAAAGATTCACATTCTAAAATATTTTATTCATAAGGACAACCTCTTGTAAAATGACCCCCCAAAAGAGTACTCTATTCATAAATTCAATTTTGGATTTTCTTTAGTTAAGCATTCACATTCTAAAATACTTTATCTATAAGGACAACCTCTTGTAAAATGACCCAACTACCTAAGTATATATATTATTTCTCAAACCCTAAGAGCATCTCCAATAACAAGTTGTTGAAGCTATTATTACCTAATTATGGCAATAGTTCATAGAAATTCACCTTCAATGGTAAGTTTTGGCAGCTACTATCTTTAGCAAATGCCAAAGCTTGTGTCAAATATGGCACAAGCTTTGCCAAGTCACCAAAACCAACCGTTTCCTTCCTCCATTCCTTCCTTTCTCATCATCCTTCCCAGCAAACAGTTCCAAACACAGAAGCGAAATTCACCCAAAAACCACCAAACAATAAAAACATAAGCAAAATTTTAGAAGCAAACATAGAAGCAAAATTTCAGTAATTTTAGCAATTTCAAGCCCAAAAAAAATAAATAAATAAATTTCAGCAAGATTTCAGAATCAAAAAACATACCTAATAGAGAAGGTTGATCTTTTTAATGTTCTTTGGATGGTCTTCATTAGGGTTTCGGGTTTGGATTATCACTGACAGAGAGGGATCGTTGAAGAAGAGGTTTAGGCTAGAGGGAGAGATAGATCGAAGAGGGAGAGAGAGGATCATTTTGGTTAGGGTTAGGGTTTCAATCGTTGGAGATCGACAGTTTAGAATGGAGTGAGAGCGAGATCGAAGAGGAAGAAGGTAAGAGATGGAGAGTTATGGTGGAGAAGAGGGTTTTGAGAAGCGAGAAGGATCCGAAGGGTTTGAGGGTTGGAGATCGGCCTATTCCTTTCTTTCTTATCATCCTTCCTAGCAAACAGTTCCAAACACAGAAACAAAATTCACCCCAAAACCACCAAACAATAAAAACATAAGCAAAATTTCAACAGCAAACACAAAAACAAAATTTTAGCAATTTTAGCAATTTCAAGCCAAAAAAAAAAAAGGAATGAAATTTTAGCAAGATTTCAGAATAAAAAAACATACCTGATAGAGAAGGTTGATTTTTTTTGTGTTCTTTGGATGGTCTTCATTAGGGTTTTGGGTTTGGATCATCACTGACAGAGAGGGATCGTTGAATAAGAGGTTTAGAATAGAGGGAGAGATAGATCGAAGAGGGAGAGAGAGGATCATTTTGGTTAGGGTTAGGGTTTTAATCGTTGGAGATCGACGGTTTGGAACGGAGTGACAGAGAGATCGAAGAGAAAAAAGGTGAGAGATGGAGAGTTGTGGTGGAGAAGAGGGTTTAAGAAAAGAGAATGATTCGAAGGGTTTGAGGTTGGAGATCGGCCCATCCCTTTCTTTCTCATCATCCTTCCTAGCAAACAGTTCCAAACACAGAAGCAAAATTCACCCCAAAACCACCAAACAATAAAAACATAAGCAAAATTTCAAAAGCAAACACAAAAACAAAATTTAAGCAATTTTAGCAATTTCAAGCCCAAAAAAAAGAAAAAAAAAGAATGAAATAGCAAGATTTCAGAAAAAAAAAAACATACCTGATAGAGAAGGTTGATCTTTTTTGTGTTCTTTGGATGGTCTTCATTAGGGTTTTGGGTTTGGATTATCACTGACAGAGAGGGATTGTTGGAGAAGAGGTTTAGACTATAGGGAGAGATAGATCGAAGAGGGTGAGAGAGGATCATTTTGGTTAGGGTTAGGGTTTCAATCGTTGGAGATCGGCGGTTTAGAACGGAGTGAGAGAGAGATCAAAGAGAAAGAATGTGAGAGATAAGAGGTTGTGGTGGAGAAGAGGGTTGGAGAAGAGAGAAGGATTCAAAGGGTTTGAGGGTTGGAGATTAGCCCATTCCTTTCTTTCTCATCATCCTTCCCAACAAACAGTTCCAAACACAGAAGCAAAATTCACCCAAAAACCACCAAACAATAAAAACATAGCAATTTTAGCAATTTTAAGCCAAATAAATAAATAAATAAATTTAAGCAATATTTCAGAATCAAAAAACATACCTGACAGAGAAGGTTGATCTTCTTTGTGTTCTTTGGATGGTCTTCATTAGGGTTTCGGGTTTGGATCATCACTGATAGAGAAGGATCGTTGGAGAAGAGGTTTAGAATAGAGGGAGAAAGAGGATCATTTTGGTTAGGGTTAGGATTTCAATCGTTGGGGATTGGCGGTTTAGAATATAGGAAGAGAGAGATTGAAGAGGAAGAATGTGAGAGATGGAGGGTTGTGGTGGAGAAGAGGGTTGAAGAAGAGAGAAGGATCCGAAGGGTTTGAGAGTTGGAGATCGACGACGGGTGTGGTGGTGGTTCTATTGGTTGTGGTGGTGATGGTTTTTGTGGTTATGGTGGTGGTTGCAGTGATGAAGAAGGTGAGAGACAGAAGGAAAAGAGGGTTGGAGAAGAGAGAAGGACATTTAGGGTTTGAGGGTTGGAGATCGTCAGTGGGTGTATTGGTGGTTCCTGTGGTTATAGTGATGAAGAAGATGAGACATAGAGGAAGAGAGTGAGTGAGGAAGAATGGAGATGGTGAGGGCGAGGGAGACAGATGAAAATTGGTTCTGGAGAGGCATTGGAGAGATAAGATAGATAGAGTGTTGGGTAGAGAGAGAGAGAGAGCAGAGTTGGGAGATGAACAAGAATGAAGAGAGACTGAGTGATAAGAGAGACAAAGAGAGGCAACAACGTGAATCGTTAGATTATTTAATCCAACAGTGCTCTTTTGTCATTGGAATATACAAATTGAGCAACGACTCTTTTTTTTCCTTCCAATTCAGAAAAGTTTGAAACAACTGATTTTTGACGGTTATAAATTAAATGGATAAAAAAAGGGCCATAGTTTTACTCCCTATAAAAATAAATAACCAATCTCAATTTAAATACACAACTTTTAATCTACATAATTTTTTTGTTTGTTTGTTTTTTAACACAATCAGTATGGAAGGTTCATCAAAAACAAAGAGAGGAAAATCATTCACTACTCAAGAAGATGTGGCAATTTGTAGAGCTTGGTGTCACATTACTGAAGACCCAGTTGTTGGGAATTCACAAGCTCATGCAAGAACACAAGTGTCTATCTTATCTCGATGGGGTGTAATCATGAAATGTTGCAACAAATTTCGTGAGTGTTTGGCGCAAGTCGAAAATCTACACCCAAGTGGGATGTCTCAAGTTAATATAATAAGATTTAATCTTTATTTATTATGTTAGTTTTTTTTTTTGTTTTTTTTTTAATTTTGTCTCATATAAAAATTAACTAATTAATTAATTTAATATTTTATTGATATAGATGCTTTAAGCAAAACTTTTATACAATCAAGATGAAAACAAACATTTTACTTTTGAACATTGTTGGTCAATCTTGCAAAACAATATCAGGTGGCAAGATGTAACTCTTACGAATACAATAAAGTCAAGGATACATACACCGTTTCCCCCTAATTCAGCTTCCAAATCCCCTATGGATAACTGCATTTCTCTTGAAGACGACAACAATCCAAGTGTTGGTAACAATCCAACTGTTGGTAATAATTCAATCGGTGAGGGTAATGTCTCTGCAAGGAGTAAAAGGCCTATGGGTAGGAAATCTACAAAAGAATTGCTTCGGAAGAGTGAAATTGTTCAAACTGAAGTCCACAAATTTAACAATTTGTTGGAGACATTTAACCAACATCTTACCGAGAAGGAAATGAAAAAAAACTGAAAGAGAAGAAAAAAAAAAAGATTTAAGCATTGCACGAGATGAAAGAATTTGAGATAAAAAAGGAAGAACATTTTCACGAGATGAGAGAACTTAAGATAAAAAGAAAGAACGTTTGATAATGACTACAGACATTTCTTATTTTGACCCTCAGACGAAAGTGTATTACATAATGAGCAAAAATGAGATTTTGGCTAAGTGGTCCGCACATATCAGCAACCCAAATTACTATTTTCCCATGCCTCCTGATGAATAATTACGGGAGAATATATTTTTTAATTTTGCAATTACTGGTATTTGTCATTTATTTTTCAATGTAATTTGAGTATTTTTTATGTTTCAATGCAATTTTATTTTTGCAATGTAATGTTAATTATTTTTTAGTATAATTTTAATTTTTCAATGTTACTATGAAAAAATACATATATTATTGAAATGAAGGCAATAAAGTTACAAATGAAGACAATTTTATTAAAATAAAAAGACATTAAATGACAGTAAGTGCCATTAAAAAAAATAAAATAAAAACTTAATATTAAAATAAAAACTTAATCTAACTCTCTAGATCAAGACCACAAGTGTTCAATTAGATCATTACGAATTGTATTATGGGTTTCAGTAGATTTAATCCTCTGGCAATTCAACATAAATTTAGCATACTCTTGATTTGGATCGTGTGACGCTTGACATGGGGTATTAGTGGTAACAGTTTGCAGTAGTGCTACATTGCATTCATTTTCTAGAATATTACGCTCATCTTCAATGATCATATTATGCAAAATAATGCACGTTTTCACGATGTAGTATAGATCTTCATCACTCTAACCTCTCACTGGAACTCTAACAATATTAAAATGTGCTTGGAGTGCTCCAAATGCCCTTTTGACATCCTTTCGACATGTCTCGTATGTCCTTGCAAATAGTTGTCTTTTTAAACCTTGAGGTTAAGATATTGTTTTCACAATTGTTGCCCAACAAGGATAGATACCATTGCCAAGATAATATTCTATGGTGTATGCGTGATTATTGATGGTATAGTTAGCAACATAGGCATGTCCTCTAGTTAATTTAGAAAATAAAAGTAACCTGTCAAGAACAGTAATATCATTCAGAGAGTCAGACATGCCAAATAAAACATGCTAAATCCACAAGTCGTATGAAGTGAATGTCTCGAGTATAACTGTTAGTTTGTGGTAGTGTCTGTTGGAAATGGTTAATTTTTCCTCAAGTTTGGTCTATTTTTTAGGTGGGCCCCGAGTGTCGATTTACTCGGGTCAAAGTGGTAACGCGTTCTATGCCGCGTTGTGATTCACGTGGTATATTTGGTTGTCCCAACGCCAATGCATACAATCCAAACTCCCTAACATTCCAAGAAACTTGCGTTACTCTCCTACTTGCAATAATTTGGCAGCATCTGACTCATTTGGGGATCTTAAGTAAATGCATTCATAGATAGCAACAATCGTTCTGATAAAGAACTTCAATGCGACAATCACAGTAGTTTTTCCAATTCTAATGTACATGTCTACATCATCAGTAGGTACGCCATATTGTAGGATCCGAAGTACAACAGTCATCTTCTGTACACCGGATAATCCAGGAGCACCAGTGACATCATGGGTTTGGATGAAGTACTCATTGACTTGTTGAATATCATATAAGATACTAAGAAATAATGACTGCCTCATTCGAAAATGTTTTTTGAAGTATTCTACAGGGTAGACATGATTATCTATGAAGTAATCTTTATAAATTTGTTCGTCACCTTTGACCTTCTCACGATTAATGTATCGACGACCACTTGCGGAACTAACATGTCTACTTGGTTGGTTTAGGGTTAATGCTTGTATTCTTTGTTGTTGTGTTGTTAACAGTTGCATCATCATTATATCATCATCAGATGATGAAGATTTATCAAAATCTCCATTGAAGAAGGCTTTAGTGAAATTGTTCATTGTGGGTGGGTGGGTGAATATGAAAATTATAGAAAATCTTGTAGGTGGGCACAGAGAGTTTAGAAGATATGAAAATTGTTGGTTGGTGAATATGAAAATTATAAAAAACCTTATGTTATAATTTATAGAGAAAATTGTGGGTAGGTGAATGATGGGTAGTTGTTGGTGGGTGGTTATTGGTAAGTGAATGGTGGATGAATAATGGATGATTGTTGGGTAGGTGGTTGTTGGTGAATGAATTCTTGGGTGGTTGTTGGTGCATGAATGCTGGGTGAATAATGGATGGTTGTTGGTGGATAGTTAGTGATTGTTTATTTTTTAATGTAGTTAATAATTTTTTTTTTAGTGGTATGTTTTTTGGTGAGATGAATTATATTTAACTTTTTTCTTTAAATTTTTAATTTTTTTTTATTTTTTATATTTGTCTAGTCAGGTATAATGTAAATATATAATTTTTTTACAAACAGTTGAAAAAATATCACAATAGACAAAAAAAAAATTCACTAAAAAAACCTATGTCCAAACAACACCTACAAATTTAAAAGGAAAGTTAATTGAGATTTGTTAAAATAGCATGTGACCATTAAAACACCATTATTATAATTTGACAACTTACTATTATTCATTACTAAATTATAATAATAATCACCATGCTTGGTTTGAGTTTTCAGAAAACTCTTTTCAGAAAATTCTACTTTCTTATTTTCCATATTTTTTTTGTTTTTACTGAATTTTTATAATATTTTAAACAATTTTTTTACTTTTTAGACACACCTAACATAAATACACCTAAAAAGTAAAAAATTTGTAAAAAAAAACTTTTAAAAATTCACTAAATACCAAAAATACAAAAAAAATATAAGAATTTAGTATATTTTTTATATTTTTATGTATTTATTAATTTTTTAAAATATTTTTTCACAAATTTTTTATTTTTTAGATACATGTAACTAAGGCGCATCTAAAAAAGTAAAAAAAATATTTAAAATTTAAAAGATATTTACTAAAAACAAAAAAATACAAAAATTAAACAATTCAATTTTCAAAAAATTTAATTAAAAAATTCAAACTAAACGCACTGAATAATGTTATTTTAACAAACGCCATCGGAGATGCTCTGCCCAAACCAAAACATTTCTCTCTGTGCTCTCCTTCATTGTCTCTCTCTCTGCTCTCCTCCTCTTCTCTCTCTCTCAGCTCTTCTTCGCCGCTGTCTAGTGGTCACTGTAGCATGCCAAGTTAAAGTAGATCTCTCCGTCGATCTCTCTCACTTCCGTCGATCTCCTCCTCTTCTCTCTAGTGGTCACCACCGCCATACGACACTGTAGTCATCTGGTGTTCTACGTCGAGCTCTCTCTCTCTCTTTCTCTCTCTCTCTACTTCCGCTAATCTCCTCTTCATCTTTCTCTCTTTGGTGGTCACCGCAGCCGTCTGGTGCTCTCTATTGAGCTCTCTCTTCACTTCTGTCGATCTCCTCCTCCTCTTCCTCCTCCTCTTCCTCCTCTCTTTGGTGGTCACCGCTACCTTACGGAACCTCAGTTAATACCGATTGGCAACGATCAACAGAAACTGCTGCAAAGGGACGAGCGGTTTCGAAAATCAGATAGAGAGCTCAAAAAGGCAATTATGAGGTAGAGAACGCTAGAAACTGTTGAAATTCAATGTATAAAGAGAATTGTATTATTGATTGATTGTATTACAAGATTGATTATTTACAATTCCTATACAATCTATATATAGAAGAAAATGTGGTAGTAGGTGTAGTGGAGGTGATAGTGGGTTAGGTGAAGTGGAGTGTGTGGTGAAGTGGAGGTAGGTGAAGTGGAGTGTGTAGTGGAGGAGGTGAAGGTAAAGATGGGAAATTCTAACAGCCCCCCGCAAACTCAAGGAGGATAGAAACTAACCAACTTGAGTTTGGAGAGAGGAACAAAACAAGAAAATACATAAAAATAAAATAAAATAAAAAGATAGGAGACACTGTATGGTCGTGTCAGACCGTTGGTGAAGACACTGAAAGGTGGTGCCATAACGTGGTAGAGGACACTGGATGGTGGTGTCATAACGTTGTAGAGGACACTGATGGTGGTGTCATAACGGTGTAGAGGACACTGAAGGGGGTGTCATAACGGTGTAGAGGACACTGTAGGGTGGTGTCATAACGTTGTAGAGGACACTGGATGCTAACCGGAATCAATGTCGGGACAGTTTATGGGGTCATGTCGGACCGTTGTAAAAGGCTAACCGGAATCAAATGTCGGGACAGTTTATGGGGTCATGTCGGACCGTTGAAAAAGCTAACCGGAATCAAATGTCGGGACAGTTTATAGGGTCATGTCGGACCGTTGTAAAAGGTTGCACCCTCAAAAGGTGTGCCCAATTTTGTCAAAAGGCGTGCCATCAAAAGGCGTGCCCAATTCATCAAAAGGTGTGCCGGATTCATCATGGCGAGGCACGTGGGTGCCTTGGTTGGCGCGCCCGTTTGTCGGCTGGTGGCAAGAGGCGCGCGATACGCGTGGCTGCCTTGGCTATTTAACCAAGGTTGATGCTGAGGCTGAGGCAGAGAAAAGCTGCGAAAAACCTCTGAAAAAAAACTTCGTTGTGCTGAGAGAGAGAGTCTGAAAAACTCTTTGTTGTGCTGAGAGAGAGAGTCTGTAACACTCTGTTGCGAGAGATATTCTGTAACACTCTGTTGCCCAGACAATGGCCTCGTCTTCCTCTGCTTCCCATGGTCTGCTTACTCTCTTTCCCGAACTGAACGAGTCAACAAGAGAGAGAACTGGTGCGGAGACCAGTGAACCGCAACCAAACACCTCTGTATTTGCTCCGTTGAACTTTCCGATGCGGTCGGTGGAGCAAAAAATGGCGGTGCAGTCGGATGTGGAGGCTAATCAGTATACTTTGAAGGCATGTGTGGAAAGCATGACGGCGGTCACAAACTTGTCGAACCGGCTGCAGAGTAGGACAAATGAGGTGCAGCATTTAAACTCCCAGCTGGCTCTGCTCCAACGCATGTATAAGGATGCGCGAGCAGAGATAAGTGTGTTAAAGACAGAAAATAAGGGGCTGAAGCGGAAGGCCACCGTGATGTTCCGATTTGGAGGTCCACCATATGCTGTAGTGGAGGAGCAGGGAGGAGGCAACTTGCTTGGTGGTCTAGGAAGCACGGAGGCAACACCGGCAAGGACCACCCAGGACGGAGGCAAGAAGAAGAGACCAGCGGCAGAGTAGAGAAGAAAAAGCCCGCCTGTGGATGTGGTTGTTTGGGTTTGTTGTTTTTTAAAACCCTTAAAACAGTGGAAATGCATAATTTAATGCAACCTCTACATTTTGTCCAAAAATTTATCCACACTAGACCATATAGCATAATGTCCTAGTTCACATGATCCTATGCCTTCTCAATAACTAATTTGCATAATATTACCCCAAAATTGCCACTGCTAGGTCTAGCGTCCTACTGACTAATAGACTTTGAGAAGTTGAAGTTCTGTTCCACACCCCTTAAAAAACAAGAAGTACGGATTTAGCTTTGTTAATGTTAAGTAAGAAGACCTAAAGAAACTTTTTATTAGGACATGTTACATCATGAAAAGGTGAGGCCGAGCAAGTGGTGCTAAATTCATTTGGGTGTCATAATAAATGATGGATCCAAATGATGTATATCAAGCTATTCAACAGAATCATATTTTAGTGCCTTAATCTTGATTTGAACTACTGTTCTATGCTGCAAGATTGCACTTCTTTGCTCTCTGGAGGCTTACAGCCAGATGTTATCATTAAAACTTTATGTGCTGAAGATGTTTGCTCCTACTGCTGCTCTACTAATTGCTTTATCATTTTTTTTGTTGTTTGGACTTTATTAGAATCATATTCCGAAAATATGATTCTGTTATATTCAAAACTTCTTATCTTACAAGACCAAATGACACTCCTTATATAGGAGATATTACAAACATCATTATAACCCATTATATGCCACTAATTTGGGCTTTTTAGGTGGGCCCGAAGTGCGATTTTCAGGGTCAAAGTGGTAACGCGTTCTATGCGCGTTGTGATTCACGTGGTATATTTGGTTGCTCAAACCATTACCGAGTGAATGGGAAATTGAAGCCAAAGTGTGCTCCATGGAAATGGAGAGTTTGGTGGAAATTCCTTAAGTGGTAAATTGGCTGTCCCACATTGATTTGGTGGGAGGTTTTGAAAGGGTTTATAAGGCTTAGGGTGAGATACTTGGGGTGTGCCCCAAGGGGTACCCAAGTGTTTTAGAGGGAGAGGTTATGGGCAAAATGGGCTAGACCCAAAATCACCACACACGCGCGCGCGCCGCGCCGCCGTCCGTCCGGTCGGTCGGGCTGGGCTTGGGCGCGGGTGCGTGGTGTGTGGTTGGGTTGGCGTTCTAATCTTTTGGGCCAAAAATATTTGAATTTAATTTATTTTTTATTAAAATAAAATCCAGAATTCAAATTAAATTGGTTTGGATTTTTGTACATCCAAACAGGGCCCTTCCTGTTTTCAAACAGAAATAAACTGTTTTGGAATTAATGCACACCCAAACAGGGCCCTTCCCGTTTTACTATCTGTTTGAATTGATTCAAATCTGTTTTGAATTCAAAACCCAACAGGTATGATAACTGTTCAATTCAAAACTAAGAGCCACCTTCACATCTATTAAATAGGACCACCCTCATTTGGATTTTGTAACTCTAATTTTCGTCCTTCATAATTCTGCAAACTTCCTCTTCATTTTGCTCTGATTATTTTCTTGTTCAGAGAGAGTATAAACAACTTAGTGTGTTCGTAAGGCAAACAATTTGTAGTGCTGCTATTGTTTGTAGTAGATCATTTTATCCTGGGAGATAGACGTCCAAATTCTGAAAGCACCGTGGAGAGGACGAATCTGTCTTAAGGACACAGTGTCAAACACTGGACTTGATCAAATAATTATTCAAAGAAATTAATCAAGTAAGTTGTTAATTATTATTCTGGTTTTTTATTGTTTATTT